GAGCAAAAAATTCCGACCGGATTTTGGGAAAAAAAGTCAGTTTTGATTTCGTTCAAAAAATATAATATGTCCGTTTTGACGAAATGACTGTTTATATATATATATATATATATATATATATCTCAACGGTTTGTGGCTTATCATTGCGTGGAGTGCTTTCGTCCCTTTTTTTTTTTTTTTTCAATATCTCCACAACCTTTTCCATGCTTTCTTCCCTTTTCTACCACGAGGCTGATCAAGTTCGATGGTTACCGCCCATCTGTCCCTTGTCGCTTTTATGGTCGCACCGTTTTCCCCACTACATTCTCATTTGTTGACATCATCGAACAACCTCTGTTTGTCCATCATCGAGCAACCTCGGCTCACAATCCGCGGGAGAACTTCGCTAATCACCACCACCACTCCGCAAGCAGTACTGAAGTCGTTGTCCCAACCACAACCACCCCTCCGCCACCACTACAGAGGTCGCTACCCGAACCGCATAGTCACTCCCGTGCCAAAGCCGACGCGATCTTCAAGAGCGCATCGCACAACATCCGCTGCCCAGCATCCAGAACTTCACACTGCCTCTCCCGGGTTCTCGCCTCCCTGTCCATAATGTCGCACTGCCTCTGCAAGATGTCGCACTGGCGCTTGCTTGCACGGTCCACAGATTCGGCAACGACGGTGGAGTGCATTTTCATGACCTCGGTCACCGCCTTGAATGCCAGTTGCCTGACGTTCTTCCACTTCCCCTGCGTACCGTTCGTTGATGACCTGCTGCCATATCCATCGCCTCCTTGTTTTTGCTCGCCGAAGTGTCAGCTTCCCCTCCGTCCACAGCCGCTTGGCTATGCTCCCCTTGCTGGGATTGATGTGCCTGTCTGTTGCCCGTGTCGGCGATATTCGGCGGGTGAACTGCCTGATTGTTCCCCTGCATGATGTGGATGGCGTCATACAAAGTGCGGTCGAGGTTGAACTTGTATCCTTTCTCCCTTCTTGTTTTCGAGCTCATGAGGAAGTAGGACTGCAGTCCCGACTCCTTCTCCCTGTCCCAAACATTCCTGTTCCACCCGAATATATTCCCCCACCTCTTCATGCACTGGTCCCCGTCCCGTCGAACTCCTTCCTTGTCCATCCTCTTGGCGATGTCCGCCCATTTCTGGTCCTTCGTTTTCATGCGAGCGAAGTTGGTACCCACATTGGCAAAGTAGTCTTCTTGGTCTTGCTTGCAGCGGACAAGGACTAGAGACTCGTTCAAATTCCAGTTCACCCGCCCACCACTTTCGCCACCTTTCCCATTTGTCCCACCCTCCTTACCCGTCGCCTTCACCTTTCCCCGACCTTTTGATGTTTGTTTTCTCTTCCCGCCAGGTGTCACTTCCTTCATGACGACCTCTTCCTCTTCGTCGTCTTCATCGTCGTCATCGTCAACGTCGACGCCAACCAACTCAGGTTCGCTTGCAGCACCGCCCTGCAGTGCTCCCTCACCGGCACTGCTCGCCTGCATGAACGCTCCACACAACGAGTGGATCCAGCACCGGTGGACACGTACGGCCTCCCTCTGTGGACTTTGGGGGCATTCGATGCTGGGTGATGCACCTGGTTCGGCCAATGCTGTGAAACCCCCTCATCAAACTCGGCGTCTTGCATTGCCTGAGAGGTGCTTCCGGTGCCATGGCCATTTTCGTTGATGAGGACCATTCTAGACATATCCATGGTGACCCCCCCCCCGTTCGTCCACTCTGGCAGGTGTGTCGTAAGACGTCTGAGTCGAACAAATCAACTGGAAGATGGCATCCTCGCCGCACGTCAGCCGGCAGTGCGGACATGGGGCCGAGACCCCCGCCCCGTTCGTCCACTCTGGCAGGTGTGTTGTAAGACGTCTGAGTAGACCCCATGCCAGATCCAGGGTAGACGGAGGGGGCGCCCACAAAATGTCATCACGCAACGGCTGCTGGTGATGGGGCAGATGCGAATACCGATTCGGATCTAACCTGTGATGCACGCTCTAGTCCACCCCACCCCCAACTCCATAGCCCTCCCCCCCCATCCCATACCCCTCTGCCCCCCTTCTATATCCATCGCCCATGCGTGTGCTCACCAAAGCAGCCTGTCGAAGCTTCTTCGAACCCCTCCTCCTTCCACGTCGGCTGCAATTGCCGGCCAGTCGCCACACGTGCAGAATGATCACCAATGCCAACGCCCCAAGCAGGAAAATGAACAGAGCCGTGTTCCTCACCATGTCATCTGTGTGCTCATCCCGTAAAGTACAAGGAATGGAGCTGGCACCTATCAAACTGGACGGAGGTCTGCAATATATGGGAGCACACGTGATGACCGACGGAGTAAAAGTTCAACTTGAAGGACAGATGGGCGCCGTCGCATCCCGCGCTTGAATTCGGAAGTCCCCGCCAACGGTCATCTCACCCGCCACCGCACGGGCCCGTGCAACGGGCACCTTCAAATGGCAGCCGAAACGCCCCGGTGGAGGGAATGCAGGGGCAACCGCAATGGCACCGCATGACCGTTGGAGGTTGCTGTGGGCCTACTGTCCCATGGTCTAGCAGACAAGACCGCCGTTGGACCAGGAACGGCAACCAAACCCCTGACGTAATTAAAAAAAAAAAAAAAAAAAAAACGGTTTTACCGCGGATGTAAGGGTGCCACCCCTACTTTCAAGTCACCTCCACGGGCGTCCTTACGTTAAACCACCACTCCCCCCGACACCAAAAAATTGGCTTTCCGGGACCATCGGAGGCTGGTAGCCCAGAAGGAGCGGAGGTCGGCGGCAATTCAAGTGGAGGTCGGCAGCAATTCGAGCGGAGGTCAGCCTTTAAAATAAAAAAAAAAGCGCAAACTTTGACGATTTTTCACGCTCGGAATAATAAACCAAAACATCTGAAATTCTGGGATGGGGTAGATTTGGTCGTGATCTATTCAGGAAAATTATTAAAAAAATGAAAAAAGATATTTTTGATGGTGAAATACTCGCCGCGCCGATTCAGTGCATTTTCCGTTCTTGGCACTCTGCCACCTGCGGGCCAACGGAAAAGTACTCCGTTCTTGCCACTCTGCCACCTGCGGGCCAACGGAAAAGTACTCCGTTCTTGCCACTCTGCCACCTGCGGGCCACTCGACCGGTTCCGGTCCCCCAAATTTTTTTGTCGCGTACGGAGTGGTGGTTTAAGGTCCATTTTGGCTGGGCGGTCCTTACTTTTGTAGGGCCCGCCCTTACCGCTGTGAATGTGAAAACAAGTTGGACTTTATTTTCTTGGTGATTAGGGAGGGGTGGAACGATGAAAACCTTACATGTAAGGGTTTTGTAGGCCGCGAATGTGAAAACAAGTTGGACTTCTTTTTCTTCGTGATTAGGGAGGGGTGGAATGATGAAAAACTTACATGTAAGGGTTTTGTAATGGTGTCGAACGAGGCCATATGCCGATTATCTTTACGAAAAGACGGGGTTCTTAACTCCGAAGGACATGAGCCCGCACTATCATATTCTAATCTCAAGGGCCAACGGGTGTGGTGGGAAGGGGTCCGGAAAGTCTTCTGCTGGTCTGATGGGAGTTTCTGGGCTGATCTCCATCCAGTTCTGAAAAAGGAGGCGGTAGTCCCTGGGGAGGTTCCTTTCCACGCTATCCTCATATTTCAGGTTCTCTTTAAAAAAAAATGAATCGTCACCAAGGAGTCATCCCCGGGGGCTCGGACCCCGGAGGAGGCTATACAAGCATCCTCCGGGGCCAAACACCAGTGTTCAGAATTCAGCTGAAACAGCAGCTGCTCTCTTTTATTTTATTTTATTTTATTTTTTAGATCAGCAGCTGCTTTCAATACATTCAAATTGTTGGCAAAAAAAAAAAAAAAAAAAAAAGGCTGGCGTTTGGCAAGTGTGGGGGCCAGGTTGGTGTCATGTGCTGGCAAGTGGGGTCAGTAAAGGCGTCCTCACACTAGGACTTTTTCCACTTATCTGTGGACGTAATTGTCGTCAGGTGCATCAAGGACGGGTCCGAAAAGCCATCATATAAATCCAGGAAAGTCCCAGCATGAGTATGTCCTAAATATCTCAGATCAAAATAGGCAGTTCCTTGTTCCTCTGTTTTTTTTTTTTTTCCTTTTATAACACAGGCGTTCAGTTGTTTTTACCAAGAGAGCCATTTTACCAAAAGTAGTAAAAGAAGTAGTACTCTTTTTTTCTTTTTTTTGGGGGTTGTTTTTGTCATAACACAGGCCTTCAGTTGTAATTACGAAGAGAGCCATTTTACCAAAAGTAGTAAGATAAGTAGTACTTTTTTTTTTTTTTTTTTTTTTTGGGGGTTGTTTTTGTCATAACACAGCCCTTCAGTTGTTTTTACCAAGAGAGCCATTTTACCAAATGTAGTAAAAGTAGTACTTATCCATAAAAAGGATGGAATCCAGCCGTTGGTTAAGCACACAAGTGGCATTCAGGAGGGTGTGGGTTCAAGCACTTAGTGCCAACGGACTGTGATACTCCTCTGGATACCCCTGATCAGTATTTGTGGGGTGTATGACCAACACTGGTGCGAGTGCGAGTGCGAGTGGGTTGTGTGTGGTGTGAGGGAGAGTGTTAGTCATAGCCTCTGCTGCTACTCGATGAGGGGTGGGGGACGATGAGAAAGGGAGGCGCAGCTACTGGCAAAATGCTCGGTCTTTGTGTTAGTCGGACCCCCACCGGCGGCCCAACCCATCTCTGACTACCGCTGTTGGTGCGGGGGGCAACATGGTTTACCTCATTTGCGAGGCCCTATGCTTGCAGGGGTCCCCTCTATATATCTATAGTTTTTTTTTGTTTTTTTTTGAAAGCCCAGGTTGTTGTAGAGGTGGGATGCTAGGCCAACGACAGTTATCCACAGTACTCGGCCGTTCGGTTGTCCAGCTGAATCCTCTGAAGACCCCACCCACCCTTCCTCTTATCATTTTTGCCCTGGCGCACCCCCACCCCCTCTGTCCTACCTTAGTGTTAACCACCCGTGACCACCACCCGTTGCCATATTGGCAGGGTGGCCTGACCAGACAGCGGTTGCAGGCACCTGGGCTAGGCAGAGAGACCTACCCCCCTGCTCAGCCCTGGTTGAAGCAGACACCATGCAAGCCCGATTGCACGGGGACTTCGGGAGCTAGGTACGAACATGCTACTACAGGTCTTCATGAGGGTGCACAGTGTTACGTTGTATTACTACTATTGTGTTTTTGATGGCAGAGAGCTGGGGATCCTCCGTTCCCTCTTATATCCCTGGACCCCGTTCCGGCCCCGCGGTAAGGTGCAGTATCTCCTGACACCCCCGGCATCCCGTACTAAGGAACTCCTATGCCAGCCTCAAGCCCTAAGCTACGTACTAGGAGGATAGCCAACCCTAAGTCATGAATCATGGACTGCATCATGGACTGTGTGTATTGGCCCTGGAGTGACCCTAGAGAATCGTTGATAGTAACGGTAGAGAGCTGGGGATCCTCCGTTCAATCGTATATCCCTGGAGCCCGTTCCGGCCCCGCGGTAAGGTGCAGTATCTCCTACACCCCCGACATCCCGTACCAAGGAACTGCTATGCCAGCCTCAAGCCCTAAGCTACGTACTAGGAGGATAGCCAACCCTAGGTCGTGATTCATGGACTGTATAATGGACTACGTGTATGGACCCTGCAGAATCGTTGATAGAGAGAGCTGGGCATCCTCTGTTCCCTCGTATATCCCTGGAGCCCGTTCCGGCCCCGCGGTAAGGTGCAGTATCTCCTGACACTCCCGACATCCCGTACTAAGGAACGGCTATGCCAGCCGCAACCCTTAAGCTACGTACTAGGAGGATAACCAACCCTAAGTCATGGATCATGGACTGTATCTATTGACCCTGGAGAACCCTGTGTTGTATGATAAATTGTGAGAGCTAGACAATCCTCCATTCCCTCGTATGTCCCTGGAGCCCGTTCCGGCCCTGCGGTAAAATGCAGTATACACCCCCGACATCCCGTACTAAGGAACTGCTATGCCAGCCTCAATCCTTGACTACGTACAAGGAGGATGACCAGCCCTAAGTCATAATCTGGTATTGAATGCAGGATCTCATGTGAATCGTGCAAATGACCTAACCTGTTGACATATACTGTTAAGTAGTCTGAAGCTGTGCTCTGCTGGGCTCGAGTAAACCATATTACTGTACAAACCACCCAACAGTCGCGTGACCACCCATAGACCAAGAACATCAGGATATTACCCTACCATTGCCCAATCCCAACATACAACAACCGTGAGCTACCCCTTGGGTGGTGCGCAAGCAGTGTCTGTAATGGCTAACCTGCGTCATCCCAAGGGGGGGGGGGTCCAGCCGTGCATCAATCTAACGCCCTGCCGGTGTCCATGTGCAAGGCTGCGGATTTGAACCCGCAACCTCATACCACATTTGCGCATTTCCAACTGGTGCTCTAACCACTGAGCTACATCAACTGGACTATATATATCTATAGTCTTAGGAGTAGTGGTAGGAAGGTAGTGAAAGGCGAAAAGAATTTGAGAGAAGAACATAGTGTAGTTTTCAAAAAGAAAGAAAAAGGATGGATTTTATAGCATAATGTTGTTACCAAGACGCCAGCCATCAGCCCCCCCCCAAAAAAATAAAAAGACGCCACCCATCAAACTTGTTTTTGGTGATTTTTCTGGTTGGAGTGCTCCGGTAGTGGAACGCTGCCCGTGGCCACAGGCCGGTAACTTGTTGACTCCTGGACACCCCCCCCCCCCTCCTCTTCCAAAACAATTGTATGTGTAATGCCTTGGGCACTAGGTCCTATA